ATCATTGCTTTTTGTCATGTGCTGAATGTTTCCTGTCAGCTTGATGTGGTTAACCAGTTTTCTTCACGAGATTCAACGTGCTATGTTGCTGCCTGCCGCAAGCCAGTGTCATCTTGTTTCTAGGTAAGGTTAACACATGAACCTCTCTCTAATCCGAGGCAACCACTGCCGATAAAAGAAACCAAAATCGTTGTATCATCCTGATCCATCAGTATTATCTGTTGTCAAATAATCCTCTATTGTCCCTATTTTATTTGTTTGTTTGTTTTTTTTAGCACAGACGCTCTGTGGCAGCAATTCTCACACTACATGTTTTCATTAGCTGTACTAAAAAAATCATCACATTTTACAGAAATAAAGGTTTGAAAACATCAACCTGTGTGTAATTTATCTGTATAATGTTTCACTCAGTGAACTAACTGCACAGTTGGCATTTAGTCAGGTGTGTGGGCTTTAGGTGCATAATTAGCGACTGCTAAAAAAAAATCCTGTGGCCTTAACCTCAGTCCTAAAAGTAAACTGCTATGAAATATACACACCACTGATAAATTGAGTACAAAAATCTTTGAAAGTAGCAAAGTTTACGAATTAAAGTGTTGCTCTGGTTCAGAGCTAAGTTAATGAAAACAAAAAATGTCAGGAGAAATGATAGAAATGAACTGAGCGTGTGACGCGAAGGACCTGAGGTTTGATGGAAAGTGAGAAATGGAAACTCTGCTTGAGGGTTACAGAAGGGCAGAGTGGTATACGTCTGTATCACAGATCAGCAAATTCCCACCGCAAAATTACCCGTCGTATGCGCTTACCTTTAGTCCGTGATTTTTTTCTTTCTTGACATCTACCCAGGAAGAAAGATGGTTAGAAATTCTGAGAACTAGATTTTACATGATGTTGAAATAAAAGAACGGAAACGAAATTTCACTCGTTACCTAATAAGTCCTTGTAAGTCAGAAAAAGATGAACACTGTTCATGTATGCAGCATTTTTACAAATCTAATTTCCCCCAGCAATGAAATAAATCTAACAATTGCATGCAAATTTTAAGTCAAAAGCAGATAATTAAATATATGAAATAACAAGACATAGAATGTCTTGTTACCGCCTGATATCAAATCAGACTCAACTTTTTCTTAGGTTAGTTTGGATGACAAAATGTACTTACATTGTGTAAAAATGAGAGTAATGAGAGAATGCTTTACTTTCTTCAAATACCAAGCCTTTAAACATTTTGAATCCCAGAAATCCCAGATAAAACCATCATGGCCTCAGTCTCTCAGGCAAGACAAAAAATGCAATGTAAGCATTGAGCATAAATAGAAATGTTGACTTTCACAAGTTTGGTTTATCCCTGGGTATAATATTCCCAGATGGGTGACGGTCTGTTCAAACAACAATGCAGAAGTAAAAACAATATGAGCTGAAAGGAAACTCAGAGAGAACGCACCCATTGTCCCAAAATCAACCTAAGAAGCAGGATCAAAGTTAGAAAATGCATCCAGGGACAAAGACCTAAACGTTTGGGGACATGTCCTGCGGCTGGACGAATCCAAAATTAAAGTGTTTGGCTATGAAGACAATTGTTACATTACACAAAAAATAAAGGAGAAAACCTAACACCTTTCGTTATTCTGCCTTTTAACAAATAGAAATAATTTTGGCAATCCTAACAGCCAAAAGAGAAAAGATTTGATCTGATTTAATGTTAAACTAAGAACAAAAGCGCTTAAGTCTTAAGTCTTAAGTCTTTTCATTTACAGTCATTTTCAATAAATTTGAATATTTTTGAAAATGTGATTTATTTTTGTTAGTCAGGCCTACTGTATATAGATTAATTTTGCATGGACTTCGTTGTAGATGCATTGTACCCCTGCCTCTGTTGCAAACCACAGGTTTCCGTTTGAGTAAGCAGAAGAGGAATTTATGCTGAAGTCAGCCTCCTGTTGGGGTTTTTTGGTCTTTGTAAAAAAAAAACTTAAAGGAAATGTTTTCTCGATGGTCTGAAATAAAGAAGCACTAATAATTTTCTCATTCATTTTTTTTTTGTTAATGCTTCTTAACAACCAAGTTGAAACTACAGAGAAACGAGGAGAACCTAGATAAAATATTTATCTTTGATCTTATTCCTCAAACCAATTAACTAAATTATTTGTCCTAAAAGATCAGGACTACAATTTATGTGATTTACTACACACTTACAAATAATTTGTAACCAATGTCAGACATCCTGTGCCAAAACTGAAGCTGATTGTTTGGGTGTATAATTTTACAAGATAGGGCCTTGTAAAATTGTTTAAGCATTTTAAAATGCTTCACATTTTCTCGCGTTAGAATCTCAAACTTTGACATGTTTTATTGGGATTTTATGTGACAAACCAATGCAACGTATTGCATAGTTGTTGGCTGGAATGAAACAGAGATGTAGATTTCAACATCTGTTCCTAAAATTCATAAAGTTAAATGTAGCCAACTGCATTCAGATGCAAGCTGTTCTGTGAAAGTTTTGAGTGAACAGGATCACGAAGACCAAGTAGCATAGCAGATAAAATTAGGAATTTTTCAGGGAGAAAAGTATGTGGAGGTTTATTCAGAGAAGTACACAAGGTAACGCTGAACAAGCAGGAACGTCCCAGAACAACTATCAATCTGTAACTCAACAAATTTGTACATGTCATTTTCCCATGTCAAAATAATGTTTGCATGTAGAGAAAATGGCAAACAACTGGTCTGATGAGATCAAAATGAAAGGTTCTGGTTGACATGCAAAAAGCTGTGTGCAGTGGAGACACTAGATATGGACATGAACTTGAACCCACTGTTGTCATGTTGAAACATGTTGGTGGCGACACCACAGTTAAGGCCTTTACTTGTTAGTACATTTCCTAATTTTATTTATGGGTGTTAGAGTGATGGGGAGTTGAATAAAGTAGAATAGACTTTAAAAATAATAAATAATCCATTCATGTCAGAATTATACACCACTTTTTGTTGGTAAATGACCTACGTACCAATTAAATTAATTGTGGTTAATGGTTGCAATATGTCAGGAGCTGACTATTTATTTTCTAGATAAAAATAGTCATTTTTTAAAAATCTGTGCAAAGCAGAAAAAAACCCAAAAAACTATCATATATTTGCAAAAATCTTAATCTCAACAAACCTACATGGCCGATATGGAAAACCCCTGAAACGTGTATCAGTGGCGTGAGTAATTGTGCCAGAGGAACTTTGATTAAATCAATTATTTTTAATAATGGGAACATACTTTGAGGATGATATCTTCTTGAATATATCATCAACTTTAATTTGAATCTAACCTCTAAAATCAGTTTCCTCCATGGAGCAGATGAGAGCCGGAAAGAAAAAGCGGAGGTTGAAAATTTGTCGAGACGGGCGACCGTCTGCGCTTCGTTGAGGTTGAGAGAGAACAGGAAGGCAGAATGTATTGCCTACATACATGGAAAGTAACGAGAGCGAAGAGGTGATTGGTACATCACGGGAAGTCCCAAATTAACCTAAACCAGTGCAACTAAAAGGACATCTCAGGGTCTTCCATTAAAATCTACAGTGTTAAAATAGGGAAGGTGATTACACCCCCAACCAAAACTGAAGCTGGTTCTTATAGCAAAATTAGCTCAATATGTGTAGAAGTCATTATTTTACTCTGAGAGACTCTGGCGATCTGCAGCCTAAGAATAAAAGTCTTTGTTGAGGAAATACAGAAACTTGGGATCTTTAAAATATGACAGTTTGGTCATAAGAAGGTTTAAAAACCAATTAAAATTTATATTTGATTAATAGTTTGAGAAATATGATCTCACCTGTCAAAACTCCTCAAACGTCTTGTCTCATAAACCTGAGCATGACCTACTTCGCAATAAGCTGGATTTGGTTTCTAATGACCACAATGTCTACTTTCGGCCCGTCACTTCCTGTCATCTCTCCGTTTTCGAACATGTTAGAAAAAATTTCTAACACGCATTGTGGTTAAAAAAAAAAAGCAACGTAGCATCTCCCCTCATGAAATACCCTGAAATATTTCTACACCACAATCAGCATGTGCTCAAAGCACACCTGATGGAAGAGGAAAACAGCAGTGAACCAGTGAAAAGGTTGGAATGTGAAGGGCAAATGCATAAATGCTCTTTTAACTTTCTTACCACATTGTCACTTTCCCAACACAAACTTCAATGTTTTGTATATTTTTTATAAATGAAAACTCAGGAAAAAGTGTGGTATGCATTAGCACTTACACATGATGGGGTGCAACAAGTTGTATCAGGTGTAATTCAAGCTCAAAGCGGGAACCAGTAAAAGTAAGCAATAGGTGGGAGACGGGCTGGAGAGAGTGATAAAGATTTTTCTAAGGACAGCAGGTTGTGAGTTTGGTTTTCAACAACATCTGAAGCCCTGCAGGCCTCAGTTAGTGTTAGGGTTTATGAATAACAAAAACATTTGAGAGAAATCACGTCGTGCTAGCAGTCAGGTGGCAGTAGTATGGTGGTCTGGGGTTGTCCTGCTGCTTCAGGACCTGGATAACTTACAGGAGGTAATCATGAAGGAGATTGTCCGGACAGTAGGACAATGGTTCAAAGCCAGAAGCCCCATATATGAACGACCAATTTAAAATGAAAATATTCTTTTCATTTGATCAACATGTTTTGCTTGCTTTGGAGTGGTCCATCCAGTCCAAGGAAACTTTTATTACCTGTTACTACCATTAGTAGTAACAGGTGGGGAAGATGCAAGCCACCGTGCATCTGCACATGCTGCACAGACATGCAAATGCATAAATGTATTCACACATACAGGCACATAAATGCCTGCACACCAGAAACTGAGATGATGCGACGTTCTCAGTTTCAAAGAACTTGCCTGAAACCCGCAGCACATCGGCCTCTCCCCCTCCTGTTTTCTAAACCCTTGTGCTTTTCCCCTTTTGAGAAATGTTGACCACATGACCGCAGGTTCTTTTTTTTTGTTGTTGCTTTTTTTTTTTTTTTTGCAGGTAAGGTTTTGTCATGGAACCTGTTGTTCTGCAAATGCACACACATGTGAGCTGCAAAGCAATAAAAAGGGACTCTGAGTGAAGCAGACAGACAGACAGCTCAGCCGGACCCGCGAGAACGCCTGAGAGACACCAAGACGACAGACAACATGGTGATGATGAAGAACTCCATAATCATGGCGACCTGCCTTCTGCTTCTGTCGTCCCTCGCTCTTCAGTCTTATGCCAGTAAGATCACCGGTTTTTTAAACTAAACTCTGTCATCATTTGTTAACGACTTTGAGACAACGAGAGAACTTAACTTTTATCCTCATAGAATTATTTTTGTCCCAATGTGTCTCGACGATGAAGGCATTACTTTTTCCAGGTGGAATTATTGTTCTGGCTTTTATTTTTGCATGCAAAGTTAATTTTTATTTACACCAATCTTTTCAGATTCCTTTGGCCCAGATGAATGCTGCTTCAAGTTCTATCCGAAGAAGCTGCAACAGTCGCGGGTGGTGGGTTTCCGATACACAGATGCTCTTTGTCCCATGGAGGGTGTGCTGTAAGTATCTTTAGATATCAGAAAACACTTTTAAGTTGAATCCAAGTAGTTTGTTGTTACTTTTTTTATGTGCCTAATGAAAAACAAATGCATGTTTTATTGCTTCCAGCAATCAGATGGCTTTCAACAAACAATGAGAAACTAATCAGCCTCTTTCCTCGTCTCTGTTGCAGTTTTACAATGAAAGCTGGTAAAGAGATCTGTGTCGACGCAACCCAGCAGTGGGTGAAGAACATCATCAAGTCCAAGGAGAAGAACCAGGCTAAAGGAGCGACCAACTCCACCACCACACTGTCCCAGTAACCCTACCGACCTCAATGTTCACTGAGCCAAGTCAAGATGCTGGTGGAAATATTTATCTTAAGCTCTCTGTGCACTGATAATTCTATTAATATCTATATCTATATATTTTTCAATAAATGCAAAAATCCCTGAGATGACTTGTTTTTTTGGTGTTAATTCATTGGCTTCATTTCTGTCAAACCAATTGCTAAGTTAGATTTTTAAATAAGAAATTAGGAACTGACGAACAACGAAACACAAACAATCTATTAAACTATCTTTTACAGCAAAACGACTGAAATTATCTTAAAACCGGGAAACCAAAGGGTCACGAAGGTCATCCGCTTCAATTCATTTGAACTGAGTTTACTTTGCATGCTTATATGTTTCTGATTTACAACAAATGTCACGTCAAGAACTTCGTGAGACGTTCAGGAGCAATTCATGCCCATTTATATTGAAATTAATAATGTAAAATTCACCACGTCATAATTAATTGCACACTTGTCAGTTCTATCTGCTGTTTATCACTGTTATATTCAGTTTACATTGTGAATTGGAAAAAAAGTTATCTCCAGCACCATCTGGCCTATGGAAGATTAACCCTTCCTGAACCAATCTCTAAGTCTTGTTTAATAACAAATACACCAATATATGTGAGATGTATAATTCATTTTATGTTCAGAAAAAAAAAAGAACTCTACCTTGCTCTGATTCACCCCATAAAGTATCAAAGTTCCTGTGGTTTCTGGTTGATGAAACCAGAGGAAGTTGTTATCTAAACCACAAAGATTTGACCCAAAAAACTGTTTTTTTTTTTTTTTTTTTTTGTTCTTGTTTTTTTGTTGCTTTCAAAAAAAATTCAAAACAAAACAAGTTGGGTTCTTTGGGAAAACGTGCATGAGTGAATATTATGCAGTTCTGTGTGTTTTATCATCCTTATGTATTATCGTTTCTCAACTCTGCGTGCGTTTGCAGTATCTTCCCAGCAGGGGTCGCTCTTTTGTCTTGTACTGAAATGTTTCAAATCAGTCGCCACTGGCACGTTTCTATTGATCAGAGTGGACAGCATCATAATTAGATTTGCTTAAAATCTCATTTCCAAGCACGCTGCCGTCAGCAGAAGCTCAGTGGGGTCATTTTATGAGCATTCTTAGCAGACAGGACTGTAATAAGACACATGTGCACAGTCAGTGCTGCATGCAACCCACTGCTAATAATTATTCTCATTTCATTTCAAATGTAAACCTCACCCATTTCAAATATAACTCTGATTTATTCAGGAAATTGAAGATAAATAAACACAAAACTTTTAAGCGGACATCAACTGATTGTGGACCCAGATTTTTATTTTTACGCTACACTGATTCCTCCATGCGAGCTGTGGGAAGAAGCTTTACTGGCTCCACATGTGAGCTATCAGAGGAGATGCTCTGATGAGACTTTGGAGGACCTGCTGCATGGATTTACATAGTAATTAGATTGAAAACAAGAACGAGACGGAGTGGCTTGAGTGCCTCTTGTTTGCTGTTGTGAGGATTCTTTTCTAAACACAAAGAAAACGAAACAGAACAACAAATGGACGACATTTTAGGAAGGATGTCCACAAACCTAATATTAAAGTCAAAGCTGACATGACTCATGTTTCAATAGATTTGTTATGTTCAGAAAGCTCCATCATGAAGATTTTGTAGAGGTGTCCTAATAAATTTACATAAAACTGAGCCGCTCAGTGACTGCATGACCTACCTGTGGCAGAAGGAAATTAGGACAAGCAGAAGCGGACTGCCTGAGGTTTTTATTTTCTTTTCACATCCGCTCTTGTTGGTTGGAAAATGTCAGCAGAGTAAGAACAAATGTGTGTAAATCGGTCCCCAATCAAGTTACTTACTGAGAAAATATTTAGTGGTTGAAATAACTGAAATAGAAATTTCCATTTGCTTTTCAATTTAGTTTAAGCATTAAGCAATCCAGCATTTCATAAGATAATTCAAACAAACCTCCAGACAAAATAGTTTTTCAAATTGTATTTCCTTTCATTTGTGTCATTTAACCACAGAATTTACTTCTACTGATAATGTTTATGCTTGTTAGAAATGAAGAGAGAGATTGACAAACTACTGAAACAAGTTAATGAGAATAAATGATTTTTGTTTTTTCTACCATGTGTTTATATCCCACTGCGGTGTGAACTCTAGGAACTGCAGTTTAAATAAAAAAATATATCAATAAAACAACGTGGTCCTTATTGATCACAAGTTTTCAATGTCTAACTTTTCTGGTTTTTTGTACATTTCTTCTCATAAACTTTAATGTATTGTAATGGTATTTTATCTACTTTACATTAAAGTTCTGCTCTGAGTGGGAAGGCAATAATTCATCATTTTTAAAGAGCAAAACAGACAGGGCAAGGCAAAAAAAATTGTGGAGAAGTTAAAAGCAAGATGAAACAAGATCACAAGCTTTGGAGACAATGTCTAAGTTTAGTCATTCAAAAATGAAAAAATAAAATGCTGCTCAACTTCTTTAACCTACAGGTCAAATGGAGCATTAATTACAGAAGCAGCCGAGAGGTAACTCTGGAAGAGCTGCAGAGATCTACAGCTCAGGCAGGAAAATCTGTCCACAGATTGACTGTTCTTGTAGTTTAGAGAAAAGCTCTTGCTGAAAAAGGTTGAGCACAAGCCATGTGGGTCATAGAGCAAATGGAAGAACGTTCTCCGGTCAGTGAGGCTAAAACTGAACGTTTTCGCAAACATGGAAAACACTTCATGTGGCCTAAAGCTAACAGTTCACATTCTCCACAGGGAAAAACGGTGATTGCCGTGGCAGGATCATGAAACAATAATCAGGCTGCCTGTCTTTCAGCAAGACAACACAATAAACACGTCTTCAAAACATTGCGATGCTTCTTTATTTTCCAGGAAAAGAAAACATTCATCAGGTCAAATTTACTGTTGTAAAGTTACATTTTATTGCTTATTTCGTTTGACTTGAGTCAAATGACTTAGTAATTCAGCAACTTGAACTGAGAAAACTGCATATATTTCATGTGCACCTTTCCTAAAGGTTTGTGCTGCTTCACCCTCAGCAAAAGAATGAATGTTCATAATGGTAGAAGCGCAAAGAAAACCAATCTCCTGTATTACCCTTAAAGAGGGAATTCATGTGGTGTTGTGGGAAAGTAGAAGACATGAAGGAGGCAAGAAAACAGCAAGTCAAAATGGGTAAAAGAGAGAGTTTGTGATGGCTACAGTTTCTGAGGCACACACATAAAAATAACCAGAATGTGATGTCAGCTTTTCCTGACAGATGGGATCAACATAAATTAGGTCTCATGTGAACCAAACAGGGGTGGGAGTGGTAGGGGGGCATGTCTGTGAGTTCTCAGCAGTAAAAGGAGGAAATCAGAAGAGATAGCAGAAACACACACACCATGGACTCTCAAATAACTGTTTGTTATAATCCTTGCAAGGTAATTACACCATAAATCACTGTGGTCACATCTTGGTTTCTCAAATATTAAGAGCAGAACTTTAATGTAGCAATAATTGTATGAGTTTCTCCAACCTATTCCCAAAATAAGAAGCACAGGAAGCCTATAGCTCGGCAACCGAACAGAGTTTGAGTCCATACAGTTCAGATGCAGAATAACAGAGCGAAACCTCTTTGTGTTCCATGTTTTATAGCGATTAAGCCAAATTAAGAGTGGGATTCAAAGTGAAATTATAGGAGAGAGAGAGAGAGAAGGGATAACCAAAACCTCAAGATCGATATCTTCTGTATAATTACCTACAGCTTCGTCGTTGCTTGGAAACCAAACAGAGAAGAGAGAGGGGGAAGGAGATGAAGATGATGAGACGGACAGAGACACTATTACAAAGCCTGAAACTAATTCCTGGGTTGAGATGATTTCCACTCTCTCTGCTACTTGTGTTTAAATAGAGCTTTGGATGACAGATGAGGAGGTGAAAAAGTGGAGGAGTCGAAATGAAAGTCGAACGGGGAGTAAAAAGGAGAAACGGAGACATGTGTCTTATATGTGGCAGAGTGGATGCATGAATAATTACTGAGATATTGACATTGGACGTCTCTTCGTCTTTCGCTTTGTCACATTTTTGTGTCATGCTTGGTTCTGACCATCCTGTCATCTATCATCTTCTTTCTTTACTCTTTCATACTTTATCTCATAGTATTAATCTTCCTGTCTGTTGCTTCTATTTTGCATCTCTTGTATGGGCCGAATGGGCGACAGCCCAGGGCGGCATTACAAAGGGAACGCACAAACCCGGCACAAAATATAACATATATCCGGGGTGCCTTGAAAAAGTTTTCTATTCAAGTTCATGTACATCCAGTCAATAATTAGTTAGCATCCCCTCTCCAACCAAACACTGTTTAGATCAAAAGCTTTGAGCTCATATAAATATTAGTCAGTGTCTCCTCCTCTGTGTTTCCTCTGTGGAGTCAGACACTGTCGCAGTCTTTTTAAGTCAGCGGCCAGATATCATCGTATCAATCTGTAGGAGGTGATATATACCTGCTGAAGAAGAACTGAATGCTGAAATCAGAAAAATTGAAATATTTAGTTTAGAGGTGTGAGAACCTCCAAACTAACACAAACAGTTTCTTGCATCTTTAACTGATTAGTTAGATTTTCACTTGAATTATACATAATCAGTGTCTTGCTGAAAGTGGAAAGTGTCAAGAAGAAATTTGTCATCATGGCCTTAAATATTTCCAAAAGCTAGGATATGTAATGGATTGTGTACCCTTTTTTTTAGACCAGTTGTTTCTCAAACAAAAGAGAACGATTAGGTTTAATAATGATAAGAATAACAATTTCGAACTGTGAGTGGTTCAGCAGTTCAGCTGGTATCACTGTTGTCTGACGTCACAAAAATCCTGGGTTCAAATCCCAGCATGGGGTCTTGTTTTATGTTTGCATGTTTTGTGTGTGCATCCATGTGGTCTTTCCGGGTACTCTGGATTCCTCCCACTGTCCAGGAACACGTTTGGTTAATCCAAACTGTCTTTAGGTATGTGTGTGTGCAAGTATGACCGTTTGTCTGCTTCTCGGTTGCTGGAGAGAAGCACCAGCCCTGTTGCGTTATACGCTTTCATGATCATTGATTTTTATGGATCAACCTGAGAGCATCTGCATCCATTATCTTTCACTTATTTTCGGAAACTCTTGTCTCTATGAACAAATAAACAAACAACGTATAAATATTTCAACATGAAGATAAATGCAACATAAAACAATGGGTGCATTAGCTTCATCGACCCAATACACCTAACTGCTTGTTGCATGTGACCTCATTGATGTGAAACACTGGGTGGGTGTACTGTTTCTTTAAATGGAGGAAAGACAAGGGAGGAGCAGAGTGAGACAGAAAGAGAGAGAGAGTGAGAAGGAGATGTAGTAAAATAAGCAGAGCTGTATTCATGGTTTCCTCTCCGTAAGAGAAGTGCATTTAGATAAGACAGAAGGATTTTACAGAAAGAAAGAAGCAAAGGAAAGAGAAAGAGAGGGAGAGAGAGCTATACACATTTAAGAGGATTTTTCTAAAAGCATTCCAACAATCTGAGGAGGAGTTATCTCAGATCAGCATCTTGCGAGATGTTTTACAAGGACTCAGCTCACTGACCTCTGATGAAGAGGTGGCTGAACACGGAATATTTTTTCCTGTTTTAGAGCAAAATTCTCTCTTCCTTTAAGACATTTTTTTTTCCTGACTGAAATAATTTGACAGTCACTTTTCAAAGAGATTTTAGCACCTCCTTTGCAGGATACTTGAATTTCAAAGATATTCCTTGACTCCTGAAAACCTTTAAGGCAAAGTGCTGAATGCTTTTAAAGTTGACTGGAAGTCAACAAATCTCAGAAAAGCATTAACCCTTTACTTTAACTTATAAATGCTTTTGGGCAACTAATTTATGCTTTCATTTACTAAGCTTTGAAAAGACAGCTGTTCACGTGAGCTGTTGGATTTGAAGTTGATCCTGTGTAAATTGAACTTCTTGTCAATGAACAGTTTTTAGGCTTCAGATTTGCCAAGCTGCTGTCGTAAAACTTGCACAGGCATTTCCGATTTCAGCATCTGGGTGAAAGAGAGAAAGAGAAGGAAAGACAGATGGCTCAGAAAGAAGGAGGAACGGAGCAGGGGCGCCTTAAAACAGAGGACGGTCTCGGGACCAAACCTATGGCTGGGGCCCCCTTGGCTGGTGGAGGAGTGGTGGTGGAGGTTCGGGAGAAGAAGGGACCTCTCCGGGCTGCAATACCCACAATGCCGTTCCCCGTGGCTGTCATTTGTCTTTTCCTAAACACCTTCATACCTGGGCTTGGTGAGTTCACAATCACTCTTTCTGTCATACCGCTATCTGAAATTAATGCTACAAGAGTTAGCACCAAAGCTGAAGTTGATCATTGTTTGCCACGAAAATTACTACATGAAGGAATTATGCATGTGATGTCATTGTTTATGTGTACAGCCAATAAGATTGTAAGTGTAACATTGTGTGGTTACACCTATAAACTCTATGCTTTACCTTAAACCCTGCGGTTAAGAGCATAGACTTTATGTTCATGCCTATAAACTACCTGTAGACCACATAGTTATAGCCACTGGATCATCTGTGGCTCAATGGGTAGTTGTCTTGCAATTGGAAGGTTGTACGTTTGATTCCAGCTTCATCCTGTCACATGTTGATGTAAGTCTTGGTTTAGACTACGGGTGCATTCACACCTGATCTGTTTAGTCCGCTTTAGTTAAAATCTATTTTGTTGCCTGAAAAGTTTGTTTGAGGAGGTATGCATCAATGTGTCACTGGTCCAAATCCAGGAAGCGAATTATAGTGCAGCGTTTTCTGGGTAAATGCAACCAAAACAAACATTTGGTTGCACTTCTTTGCAGGAGAAATGCCTCATTTACCCAAAACCAAAGAGAAATCCTACAACTGCTAAAATCCAATGCCTCTCCATTTTTGTTTACATTTTGCAAGAAGGAAGTAGCGTTCATGTCTTGTTCAGAGGTTTCCATGTCAATTGTTTCATTAGTTCTTGGTGCAGCGCCACCACAGGTGAGGAGGTGAACACTGCTGCTGTTTGCTTTTTTGTGAAAGCAAACAGCAGCAGCTGAAAATACAGCCAACTTAAAAGCTCTGGTCTCCAACCGAACCAAGTTTACTGAACCATCTGGAGTGAAAACACCCTATGTGTCACATCAAACTTAATTCCACATAAAGTGGCCATTCATTTTTAAACAGAACAATGTCTGCTGTAACAAGAAAAAAAAAGTACTCAGTTTAAGCGTTTAGTTAAAAGTTTAATTAGGTTTAGACTGAAGTTATAACGGCACTCATAAAACTTTTCTTTTGAGTGCATTAGTCTAAGTTGAATACTTGAATGCTAATGGAAATGTATGACCTCTATTATTAATCACATCTGAAAAAAAAACTTTTAGAGTGGTTGAGACCTGGCTAATTATCTGAATGATCCAAAATGTACTCTTTTTGCAGCCAGAATACTTCAGATTTTATATTTGTAAAACCAGAACACTAGACATATTGGACCATGCTTTCACAACGTTCCCCTTTGGCTCCTGACTTGCAAGTTCAAAAACTTGCCAGAGTGTGTCTATCTCTGTGAAACACCTGAAAGAAAAGGCAAATAAAGGCAGTCAGAGCTCTTTTTCACACCTCTTGAAAAGTGTCAGGTGTTTGAAAACACCAACCTGACTTTGCCAGGTGCTAATGCACTGCAACTAGAAAATGTCACAATCTGGGTGAAGCAGAAATGTCACAGGTGTCATCATTATGGCAGCAATATTCTCACAATGGATGGATAAATCAAGTCAAGTGTGGGCAATGTTAGTGTAGGCAGACTTGTCATTTGTTATCAAGACAACAAACCCTGGCGCTGTTTGGAGGAATTAACTCTTTGACAGGCTCCTAATCCAGATTAGTCACTAACCCATGCAACGCTGTAAGTTTTACTCTGTGACTGCCGACTGGCAGGCCAGCAGACAATTGCCTCCAATTTTACAATTTAACAAACCAAACACTTGTATGGACAATTTACATCCAATTATTTTCTCTTTGTGTTGACATAAACACAAAGAGAATATATGTTTATTTATCACTATTTCATTTCCACCATTTTCAGGCCAATGGAAATGAGTAATAATAGAAAACATGACATGTGAAAAGCCCCCATTTTTAAAAAAATGATATCAGGTAGGTGTCTTTTTATGCCTTTCCTGCTGTTCATAGCAATAAATAATAAAAATCAATTATTGTTATGTGTCTGTTGTGTGCAGCTGAAGAAACTCCATAATGCAGTCAGTCTGATTCACTTGGTATGAAGCAGTTTAAACCCTTTGCACCCTCCGATCTTTCATCCGTCAGTCTGCTGGGCGTCTAGGTTTTTGTGTCACGTCATGCAGCAACATCTGGCCCTTTATGACACACAAACTAATATATGCACAGTCTCAGCAGGTGGCATCATCCACACAAAATGTGTGTTGAGCCGCATTTTGTTTAGAGCAAATCTCAGTGAGCTACAATAAGGAATTTGTCATAAAAAATAATTCAAAAAAAAAAAAACTAAGATTACTACTTTTTTTACTTTGAAGCAGTTATTCAACGTAGAATTAAGAGAATGGAGAAAAACATGGAGAATTGATGAGAAATTTTTGTTCTTTTACAATTCTCAATCTGCTCTGAAAGTCACTTTTTGACATAAATATTGGCATCAAGGCGACGCTTCACCTCAGTGTGTCTGAGCTTCTTGCTCACACAGAGTGAGCGCGTGTGTGTGCAGGGTTTTTCTTCTTTTTTTTTGTGCCTGAATGTTTTGACATTTCATTGAATAGCTGCGGCTAGTTGCCATAACAACGATGACTAAAATGGAGTGTGTGTGCGTGTGTGTGCGTGTGTGTGTGTGTGTGCGTGTGCATGTGTGTGTGTGTGTGCGTGTGCATGGCCGTTTGGCTCGAAGTGACTTTAACTGAAAAACAGCATAACGTTCTCTATTCAATTTGCGGCCAATAATAATAATAATAATAATAATAATAATAATAATAATAATGGAACAGTGTGATTGAATTTGGACGCCATCCCCTGGAGGAATTTATGCACAGGTGCAACAAACTGGGATAAATTTGTGGAGCGACATCTGGAGCGCTGGTTATTGTTTTGTGGAAAACACAGGCTGCACTCAAACGTAAAAGTGACAAAAAACAATCAAAATGTATCTAAAGGTTACTAATTAAGAGTAAATTAATTATGTGGAGCCGTATGAAGTCGTGAATGAGGTTGATGTATGGGGGTGCAGAAACAGTGGAACCAGAAACACAAGATAAAAAGACACACCTTGTTCCCTCACTGTGTTGCATTTAATTAAACAAAACATTCTGGGAACAGATAAGTGAGTATTTCCGAAAATATTTCCACTTACGAAACGCAAGAATAATAAGAAAATATTTATGCATTTTTTTAAAAAAACTTGATTTAAATTACATTTGCTTATGTAGCATCCTAAGCTTCTTTCAATTCTTCCCAACAGAGCAGCAGCAAATGAGTCAGGTTTGCAGCTTGCCTTACTTGGACAAACACTTGTAGCGCTGCCAGTAAATCTTCTGTAATCAGGGCTTGTGTGTGGGCTACTCTAAAACAACGGTGTTGTTGTCTTTGAGCCACATTGTAACTAATTACTTGGTGCCTTTACTTCTATTGAGATGTTGCGTCAATATTTCCACAGGATGTTGTCCCTCATCATGCTATCTGTTTTGTGAAGTGTAACAACGGTCACTGCGATCAAACACTTCAACATCAGCGTCATCACACCCCAGGGGGTCTTCGACAATTAAGAACTTTGTCACTGCATGGACATGCAAACTGCAGGCTAAATTTTCATTTTGCCTTTGGAGCAATGACTTCCTCCTTGCCTAGTTTTCGGCTCATGTTGGGTCGGGACTTGTTTTGATGTGTATAGTGACACAATTTCAACCAGCATCTTCACAAGGTCTTGTCCCTTAACTCTTCGATTGATATTCCAATTTTTCACAAGAACATTTCGTCTTTGAGACACAGATGGGACAGTATAATTCCTGGACATTCTCATCCATATAGTTCTTTGAACAGATGAATGTGGCATCTTCAGATATCTAGAAGTGGTGCTCACAGATTTACAAGAAATGGTGAAATCATGTTCTTAATATCCTACCTGGTTTATTCTGATTTTTACATGATGGGAACAGAAGCATTGTGTTTTAAAAAATGTTTGCCCCCATTCAAAACACATGTTGTAAGTCAACCTATGAGAAGCTCACAAAGCCATAATGTCATCTCCCTACTTTGATACTCAAAAAAAAAATATTGTCTTTAACTGAGTAAAATGTGTTTTTGGTCTTTTTATAGGGACTTGTAAATCTGCTTCACTTGCATGCAATGCAGACTTGCATTTTGGAAGGTAGTTCCTAATATTGATTCCAGTATTTCTTTCCTCATTTTGTTTTTTGTTGTGAGGTTTCCCAGTTTACTCCACTCCATATTCTTTTCCTCTCTGCCTTGCTATCCCTGACTCTCTAAAAGCGGCCTGCCTCTTTCAAAATAAAAGCGAACACTCTTGGAGCGGGAACAAAACCCGTACCGTTTCCATGAACTGCCAGGTTCATGGAAACAGATGTTTTTTGACTAACATAAAAAGGAGACAGATGTTATTATCAGAACATCTGGATCAATACACATGATCCAGGAAATTATCACATCCTAACTATATCCTTGATAAATAAGCAATAATCAACATTCTTTGCAAACTGATTCAACATCCCTTTCAGCTAATGACAGTTTAAAATAAATTTGAAAATTAGATAAACATATTATTTTCTGAAGGTTTTTGGGAAATGGAACCAAATATGAAATTTCTGAGAAGCCCAAACAGCAACAGTCTCAGTGTTTCCCTGTTATGATAGATATTACACAACAGGAGTCTTGCTGATTGATTTAATTCTCATTCAGCTGCTTCTCTTCTGCTCTGTAAACAGGAAGCAGCAGAGGGCAGAAATTAACACGGTTATTAGCACAGATTTTAACACATTAATAACCGACAACAAAGCCGAGGAGAGACTCTCGCTCTGGTCAGAATTAACAAGTGTTTCTGAGTTGATAATTACACTTTCCTTCTCTGCTAATTGAATCCTGAGGCATTAACAGGCTAGGACCTGTGTGTGTTTGGCCTGAAGAGTATTCGCTCCTTCTTGGACAATTTGAACGTGTTTATTGTCGGTCTAGCAGGAGCTATGCTGGGCGTTGCAACGCAGGTGATATGCTGTTCAACAGGAGCC